TGATGAAAGATTGCAACGCAGAATAGTCCGGATGGTGGATAAGCAGCCCCAAACATGTTCCAAAGACATTCAAGCTGTCCTGCAGGCTCAGGGAGCATCAGTGTCAGCGCGAACTATCCGTCGACATTTAAATGAAATGAAACGCTATGGCAGGAGACCCAGGAGGACCCCACTGCTGACACAGAGACATAAAAAAGCAAGACTACACAGTTTGCCAAAATGTACTTGAGTAAGCCAAAAGCCTTCTGGGAAAACGTCTTGTGGACAGATGAGACCAAGATAGAGCTTTTCGGTAAAGCACATCATTCTACTGTTTACCGAAAACGGAATGAGGCCTACAAAGAACAAAACACAGTACCTACGGTAAAATATGGTGGAGGTTCAATGATGTTTTGGGGTTGTTTTGCTGCCTCTGGCACTGGGTGCCTTGACTGTGTGCAAGGCATCATGAAATCTGAGGATTACCAAAGGATTTTGGGTCGCACTGTAGGGCCCAGTGTCAGAAAGCTGGGGTTTGCGTCCAAGATCCTGGGTCTTCCAGTAGGACAATGACCCCAAACATACGTCAAAAAGCACTCAGAAATGGATGGCAAAGAAGCGCTGGAGAGTTCTGAAGTGGCCAGCAATGAGCCCAGATCTAAATCCCATTGAACACCTGTGGAGAGATCTTAAAATTGCTGTTGGGAAAAGGTGTCCTTCCAATAAGAGAGACCTGGAGCTGTTTGCAAAGGAAGAGTGGTCCAAAATTCCGGGTGAGAGGTGTCAGAAGCTTATTGATGGTTATAGGAAGCGACTGATTTCAGTTATGTTTTCCAAAGGGTGTGCAACCAAATATTTAAGTTAAGGGTGCCAATACTTTTGTCCAGCCCATTTTTGGGGTTTTGTGTGACATTATGTCATATTTGCTTTTCTGCCTCTGTTTTATATTTGTTCCAATACATACAAAGGGAATAAACATGTGTATAGCAAAACATGTGTTAATGCAATACCTTTTTTGTGTGAAATACTTGATTTTCAGGAAAAATATCAAGGGTGCCAACATATTTCGGCCATGACTGTATATAAAAAATACATACATTGATGCGTTTTTGGTCATTGCGATTTTTAGAATGATTTTAAGATTTTTAAATATTGGGTGTTTCATGATATTTGATATACTGTGTTTTTTAAAAAATATTTAGGGACAATATGTGTATATGATTATATGTAGAGATGAGCGAATCGAAGTAGGCGAAGTGGAATTCGTTTCGAATATTAGGAAAATTTCGATTCGCGTCGAATCCGAAAATAAGCAGACTTCGGATGCGCGAATCGAAATTTTTCCTAAAATGGCGGCGACATGTGCGGCGACGGAGCGGGGATGTCTTGGGAAGGCGCGCAGACAAGGCGCGCTGACCATAATGCATTCATTCATGACATGTGATCGCATTAGCCAATCAGCAGCCAGCCAAGCACAGTGTAATGGTCGAGCTATAAATGGCGGCCATTTTAGAATTCTCCCATTTGCCTCCAGTCATTCAACAGAGGCAGACCTGGCTGGTATTCAGGGAGAGAGTTAGGGACAGAAAAACGTTACTTAGGGACACAGAAACGTTAGTTAGGGCCACAGAATCGTTACTTAGGGCCACAGAAACGTTACTTAGGGCCACAGAATCGTTAGTTAGGGCCACAGAAACGTTACTTAGGGACACAGAATTGTTACTCAGGGACAGACAGAATTGTTACTGAGGGATACAGAATTGTTACTGAGGGCCACAGAATCGTTACTTAGGGCCACAGAAACGTTACTTAGGGCCACAGAATTGTTACTTAGGGACAGACACAGAATTGTTACTGAGGGACACAGATTTGTTACTGAGGGCCACAGAATCGTTACTTAGGGCCACAGAATTGTTACTTAGGGACAGACACAGAATTGTTACTGAGGGACACAGAATTTGTTACTGAGGGCCACAGAATCGTTACTTAGGGCCACAGAAACGTTACTTAGGGCCACACAGAAACGTTACTTAGGGCCACAGAATTGTTACTTAGGGACAGACACAGAATTGTTACTGAGGGACAACAGATTTGTTACTGAGGGCCACAGAAACGTTACTTAGGGCCACAGAAACGTTTACTTAGGGCCACAGAATCGTTAGTTACTTAGGCCACAGAACGTTACTTAGGGACACAGAATTGTTACTCAGGGACAGACACAGAATTGTTACTTAGGGCCACAGAAACGTTACTTAGGGCCACAGAATCGTTAGTTAGGGCCACAGAAACGTTACTTAGGGACACAGAATTGTTACTCAGGGACAGACACAGAATTGTTACTGAGGGCCACAGAAACGTTACTAGGGCCACAGAAACGTTACATAGGGCCACAGAATCGTTACTTAGGGCCACAGAAACGTTACTTAGGGCACACAGAATTGTTACTTAGGGACAGACACAGAATTGTTACTGAGGGACACAGATTTGTTACTGAGGGCCACAGAAACGTTACTTAGGGTCCACAGAAACGTTACTTAGGGCCACAGAATCGTTACTTATAGGCCACAGAAACATTACTTAGGGCCACAGAATTGTTACTTAGGGACAGACACAGAATTGTTATTGAGGGACACAGAATTGTTACTGAGGGCCACAGAACCGTTACTTAGGGCCACAGAAACGTTACTTAGGGCCACAGAATCGTTACTTAGGGACAGACACAGAATTGTTACTGAGGGCCACAGAATTGTTACTGAGGGCCACAGAACCGTTACTTAGGGCCACAGAAACGTTACTTAGGGCCACAGAAACGTTACTTAGGGCTACAGAAACGTTACTTAGGGCCACAGAAAGTTACTTAGGGCCACAGAATCGTTACTTAGGGCCCACAGAATCGTTACTTAGGGACACAGAAACGTTACTTAGGGCCACAGAAACTGTTACTTAGGGCCACAGAATTGTTACTTAGGGACAGACACAGAATTGTTACTGAGGGACACAGAATTGTTACTGAGGGCCACAGAAACCGTTACTTAGGGCCACAGAAACGTTACTTAGGCCACAGAATTGTTACTCAGGGACAGACACAGAATTGTTACTGAGGGGACACAGAATTGTTACTGAGGGGACACAGAACCGTTACTTAGGGCCACAGAAACGTTACTTAGGGCCACAGAATCGTTACTTAGGGCCACAGAGAAACGTTACTTAGGGCCACAGAAACGTTACTTAGGGACACAGAATTGTTACAGGGACAGACACAGAATTCTTACTCAGGGACAGACACAGAATTGTTACTCAGGGACACAGAATTTGTTACTGAGGGACACAGAATTGTTACTGAGGGACACAGAATTGTTACTCAGGGACACAGAATTGTTACTCAGGGACACAGAATTGTTACTGAGGGACACAGAATTGTTACTCAGGGACAGACACAGAATTGTTACTCAGGGACAGACACAGAATTGTTACTGAGGGACACAGAATTGTTACTGAGGGCCACAGAAACTGTTACTTAGGGGCCACAGAACGTTACTAACAGGGACACAGAATTGTTACTCAGGACAGACACAGAATTGTTACTCAGGGACAGACACAGAATTGTTACTGAGGGACACAGAATTGTTACTGAGGGACACAGAATTGTTACTTACTGAGGGCCACAGAACGTTTACTTAGTTACACAGAAACGTTACTCAGGGACACAGAATTGTTACTCAGGGACAGACACAGAATTGTTACTCAGGGACAGACACAGAATTGTTACTCAGGGACACAGAATTGTTACTGAGGGACACAGAATTGTTACTGAGGGCCACAGAACTGTTACTTAGGGCCACAGAAACGTTACTCAGGGACACAGAATTGTTACTCAGGGACAGACACAGAATTCTTACTCAGGGACAGACACAGAATTGTTACTCAGGGACACAGAATTGTTACTGAGGGACACAGAATTGTTACTGAGGGACACAGAATTGTTACTGAGGGACACAGAATTGTTACTCAACTCAGGGACAGACACAGAATTGTTACTGAGGGACACAGAATTGTTACTGAGGGACACAGAAATTGTTACTGAGGGCCACAGAACTGTTACTTAGGGCCACAGAAACGTTACTCAGGGACACAGAATTGTTACTCAGGGACAGACACAGAATTGTTACTCAGGGACACAGAATCGATTAATTAAAGAGTACGTCAGACAACATGCAGAGGAGTGGCAGAGGAGGCAATGTTTTAGGAGCGAGCAGACGTGGCAGCAGAGGAAGGGGTCGAGGCAGCACTATTCGCAGCCAGAGGCCAGTGCTCCCGGTGTCATCCAGTACAGTGAGGAAGAGCTAACAGAGGGCGGTCAGGAACGGGGGGAGACATCCGCCTCTTCAGCAGCCAGGCGAAGAAGTAGTGGCGAGGAGAGTGGCCCGGTAGCCGGTCTAGAGACAGGTCTGTCTCCTGACCCACACGCAGCCGAGGGGGCTAGTAGTGAGGCGGAGACCCTAATTGATGATGATGAGGCTGATCGCACTTGGCAGCCTCGTCGTCATCAGGCTATTGCTTCCGCATCATCAGGAGAAGAGGGTGGCAGCTTGGCAGCGAGCAAAACAGTCGGTGGGTTGTCTCCATCGCCACACTCTGCCATGTGCCACTTTCAGGTCTCCTCACACACTGCTGGTGTGTTCCATTTTTTGTCATAGGGTGCTGGCAGATTACGGGCCTACCATAGCTGCTGCCAGGCCCCTAATCTGCCATGGGCCCCTGTACCGCCTCCTCCTCATGCTGCTGCCAGGTCCACAGTGTCTCATGCCATGTGCCACTTTCAGGTCTCCTCACACTGCTGGGTGTGTTCAATTTTTTGTCATAGGGTGCTGGCAGATTATGGGCCTCCCATAGCTGCTGCCAGGCCCCTAATCTGCCATGGGCCCCTATTACCGCCTCCTCATGCTGCTGCGAAGTCCAGAGTCTCTCATGGGTCCCTGTACGGCTCTCCATTGCTGCTGTCTCCATCGCCACACTCTGCCATGTGCCACTTTCAGGTCTCCTCACACACACTGCTGGTGTGTTCCATTTTTTGACATAGGGTGCTGGCAGATTACGGGCCTCCCATAGCTGCTGCCAGGCCCCTAATCTGCCATGGGCCCCTGTACCGCCTCCTCATGCTGCTGCCAGGTCCAGAGTCTCTCATGGGTCCCTGTACGGCCTCCCATTGCTGCTGTCTCCATCGCCACACTCTGCCATGTGCCACTTTCAGGTCTCCTCACACTGCTGGTGTGTTCAATTTTTTTGACATAGGGTGCTGGCAGATTACGGGCCTCCCATAGCTGCTGCCAGGCCCCTAATCTGCCATGGGCCCCTATACCGCCTCCTCATGCTGCTTCCAGGTCCAGAGTGTCTCATGGGTCCCTGTACGGCCTCTCCCATTGCTGCTGTCTCCATCGCCACACTCTGCCATGTGCCACTTTCAGGTCTCCTCACACACTGCTGGTGTGTTCAATTTTTTTGACATAGGGTGCTGGCAGATTACGGGCCTCCCATAGCTGCTGCCAGGCCCCTAATCTGCCATGGGCCCCTATACCGCCTCCTCATGCTGCTGCCAGGTCCAGAGTGTCTCATGGGTACCTGTACGGCCTCCCATTGCTGCTGTCTCCATCGCCACACTCTGCCATGTGCCACTTTCAGGTCTCCTCACACACTGCTGGTGTGTTCAATTTTTTGACATAGGGTGCTGGCAGATTACGGGCCTCCCATAGCTGCTGCCAGGCCCCTAATCTGCCATGGGCCCCTATTACCGCCTCCTCATGCTGCTGCCAGGTCCAGAGTGTCTCATGGGTACCTGTACGGCCTCCCATTGTGCTGCTGTCTCCATCGCCACACTCTGCCATGTGCCACTTTCAGGTCTCCTCACACACTGCTGGTGTGTTCCATTTTTTGTCATAGGGTGCTGGCAGATTACGGGCCTCCCATAGCTGCTGCCAGGCCCCTAATCTGCCATGGGCCCCTATACCGCCTCCTCATGCTGCTGCGAAGTCCAGTCAGTCTCTCATGGGCCCCTGTACCGTCTCCTCATGCTGCCTGGCCAGGTCCAGGCGAACGTAGTCACACAGGGGAGGAACTTCTCAGTGTAATGAACAGAGAAATCGACAGATGGCTGTCTCCGCGCAAACTGAAAATCGGAACCATGTTGACCGACAACGGAAAGAACATGGTGTCTGCTCTGCGTCAAGGAAGGTTGTGCCATGCGCCATGCATGGCTCACGTGTTCAATCTGGTTGTCAAAGCGGTTCCTAAAATCCACCATCCCACTGCAAGACATCCTTAAAATGTCACGTAAACTTTGCATGCATTTCAGCCATTCCTACACCGCAAAGCACACCCTCCTTGAGCTGCAGCGGCAGAACGGAATTCCACAGCATCGCCTGATCTGCGACGTTGCAACAAGGTGGAATTCAATCCTACACATGGTTAGACCGCCTTTACGAACAGCGAAAGGCCATTACCGATTTCCTGATGTTACAAGCGGATAAAGGTACTCCCCTGTGTAACTTCGATGTCAGCCATTGGCAGCTCATGCGTGACACCTGCCGCTTGCTCAGGCCCTTTGAGGAGGCCACGCTATTCGTGAGTCGGCAGGACTATGGGATGAACGACGTCATTCCTCTGTTGCACGTCCTGGAACAAATGCTGTTAACAATGGCTGGTCAGGGTGCGGTAGACGTGGCGCACAGATCTCAACGCCACATGACCCCTGTGGGGGCAGGACAGGAAGAAGAGGAGGAGGTAGAGGAGGACATTTGTGCTCAGGAATTATTGAGTGAAATGGGTGGTTTTTCCACTCAGCGAACAGGAGTGGAGGAGCAGGAGCATCTGGTAGAGAGGAGGAGGAGACAGAGGACCCAGATGCACCGTGGCAGTATGCTGTGGAGATGGAGGCAGGGAGTCCCTCGCATTCCTTGGCACAAATGGCCCATAGCATGCTCGCTTGCTTGCGTAGCGACAGCCGAATAATAACCATCAGACAGAGGGATGACTTTTGGCTGTCCACCTTGTTGGACCCTCGCTACCGTTCAAAAATGGTGGCCTTTTTTCACACCTGCTGAGAGGGAGGCCAAAATAACGTACTATAAAAACCACCTATGTAGTCAGTTGGTCTCTGCCTTTGTGCGCCAACGTCCATCCTCAGACACTGTGGGCCCTGTGCGCTCGCGTTCCGCTGCCATGGCAGCAAAGGGAGGGGTGGGGTGGTAGGAGCAGTGGCAGCTCCACCAGCAGAGGCTGCCTCAGTCTGCAGTCGTGATGAGTAGCTTTCTTCACCAGCGCAGTGAGGAAACTACTAACCAGCCGCAGCCAGCAGCAGCAGCAGAGCATCAGGTGGACCTGGAGCAGGACCTCAAACAACAGGCTTGGGCCTACTTGGACAGCACCCTGCCAACCGAGGTAGACAATCCCCTTGACTATGGGCAACGAAACTTGACCTTTGGCCCCCAACTAGCTGAATTTGCCCTTGAAAGGCTGTCATGCACCGGCCAGTAGCGTGGCATCGGAGCGCGTGTTTAGTGCGGCAGGAGGTATTGTAACTCCGCGGAGGACACGACTGTCACACCAAAGTGTGGTGTGCTGCCTTGTATTACACAAGGCATTCTTTAGCATTCAGCAGTGTCTGTCCCTTTAAGGCTAGGTACGTCCTGTTTGCTAACTTGGGAGGAAGTGACCTCATCTCTTCAGACTGAAGAAATTCTACAATGCAAGTACATGTGGGATGCTGTTCCCCTCTTCATATATGGGCTTGATTAGACCCCCAAAGTCTGTAAGTACCCTTCCTATATACTGAGGAATGTTATGCACATAGCTAGGAAGTTAGATATGTACTTATGTTTGTTTATCTGTTTGTATTTCAGTTTTACCGCATTTGTTCACATTCGCGCATTTATTCACATTCATCCGCATTCTCATTATGTCACATGTTATCAGTAAAATGATCATCGGTTATCAATCATCGACTCTTTACTGTGCGGACATCAAAGGTTATACTGCCTGTAATCCTCTGTAACCATTTCATAACTGCAGAGAAGGCAGGACAGTAAAAAGACTTACACGGTTACTTCAGAGCACATTGTGTGAAAAATCTACAGCAAAGCCCCACAACACAGAAAAGACTCTTAACTGTTAATACAGCAGCACGTGTGTGTGAAATCCCCACAGCACAGCCAGTCTAAGGCATAGCAAAGTGAAACTAACTCAGCTTTATGAAAGATATGAAAGATATCACTAAATTAACCCTTCCTAAAATCTCGTGCAAACAGGAAGTAAAATATGCACAGTACACTGGAAACTAGGTCACAATGCAGCACGCCGAGAACTTATAACAAATCGGATCTGTCGTCATCCAAAAGCAGAAACCGCCAGATCTAAGCGTTCAAGTTCCAGGCATTCAAGCATCACAGGACCTATCGTCAGTCAGTACTGGGGCAGCCAGGAGTAAGCATACCAGTTCCAGACATTCTAGCGTCACACAAACTTGTCTTCAGTCAGCGCTATCGCCGCCAGGGCACAAGCCAAGGCCGAGGCCGCATGCGCCATGGCCTCTTATGCCATACAGGAAGCAAAGCTTATGAAAGAGCATAGGCTACCTAGATGAAGAGCAGAGAGAAGAGACAAGCCGAAGGGGAAGCTGAAATAAAAAGAGGACAAGCCGAAGGGGAAGCAGAAATGTTTGGAGAAAGGCAGAAGTACGAGCCTCTTTACACATACTTAAGCAACAGAAAATAGCTGCAGCAGCCATTAGCTGAAGCCGAAGTTCTTGCGAGAGCTGCAGATATTCAGTTTGTAGAGAGCGATTGTACTCGGAAACTCCTGATAACACCTCTCAGGTACATTCCAACGCACCCGTGAGTATGTGCAATCACAAGCAACCCTATACCCTGATAAAACAGCCTAGTGACGCACCAAAACCATCAAGGACCCAGTTGGGAGCAGACAGCTTTGATTGTTACGCATCACTACAAGACTGAACCTGAACCGCCACGTGATAAGTCAACCAATCACGGGCTCAGATACCAAACCGCCAACACGCTAAGAAACCAAGTAGATGGCGATATAACCTCTCCTCGTGCAAACCAGATCTAGACTAACAATAGAGGAGAGCAAAACCATCTGACCAAAATAGACTTAGTCCAAAATACCTCAACGAACCATCAGTCACTATCAGCCAGTAGTCCCGCGTTTGTACCCAGAACAAACGCACCTGACACACAGCAAGGGGTTACAGACGTGTCGAAATACCTGATGCGCCGTGAGTTGGTGAGCACTGGTCTCTTGAAGTTCGACGATCGTCCTGAAAACTACTGGGCCTGGAGGTCATCCTTCCTAAGCAGGAGCACCCAAAACTTAGAGCTGACAGACAGAGAGAAGCTCGACCTACTCGCCAAATACCTAGGACCAGAGTCCTCAGAGCAGGCAAAAAAAATCAGGTCGAGTGCATGTTCCATGATGCAACAGCAGGACTTGCGATGGTCTGGCAGAGAATGGAAGACTGCTATGGGTCACCTGAAGTAATTGAAGAAGCACTTTTAAAGAAAATAGAAACTTGCCCGAAAATGACAAACAAAGACAATCAGAAGTTGTGAGAGAGCTCGGAGACCTACTCCTAGAGATAGAAGCAGCAAAGACTAGTGGAACTCTGCCAGGTCTTTTATACTTAGACACAGCACGTGGAGTAGAAGCCATAATCGGAGAAGCTCCCTTTCAACCTGCAAGAAAGGTGGGTCTCTCAAGCATCCAGATACAAGAAAGACTATCGAGCGTTGCATTTCCACCGTTTGTCTTCCTTGCTGAATTCGTTGTAGACCAAGCTAAGACACGCAATGACCCAAGCTTCTCGCCTTCCTGAACAAGAGAGTTGCAGGTGCCCCAAGGACAGAGAAAGCAGTCGCCAGTACACTACAAAGAACGCAGAGCAACAGTGTCTGTGCGGAAGACAGAAAGTCCCGCCTGAGGCTGCAGCCAATCAGGAAGACAACACAAGCAAGGAAGTTGAGGATCCAGACAAACAGTGCCCAATACACAACAAGCCTCATCCACTAAGAAAATGTCGCAGTTTCAGAAGTAAGACATTAGAGGAGCGCAAGGCTTACCTTAAAGACAATCACATTTGTTTCAGATGCTGCGCCTCAATGCAACATCTTGCAAAAAGACTGTAAGAGAGAAATACGGTGCACAGAATGCAACAATGACCGACATCTGTCAGCACTGCACCCAGGACCACCACCATGGAGATCAGAAGTTCCAGCAACTCAAGAAGATCATGGTGGGGAGCAAAAAGAAAGTGCAACACCAGCGATAACTTCAAAGTGTACTGAGATCTGTACAGAACCAGGACTCTCTAGATCATTGCTCCAAGATATGCTTAGTCAAAGTGTATCCCAACGGTCTCAGAGAAAAGGCAGTGAAGATGTATACAGTCCTAGACGAACAAAGCAACAGGTCTCTAGCAAAGACAGAGTTCTTCGACCTCTTCGGTGACAAAGGAAGTCCAACTCCATATACCTTGAAGACATGTTCTGGAGTTATAGAGACATCAGGGAGAAGAGCAAACAACTACACCATCGAGTCATTAGATGGAAAGACGCAGCTGACTCTTCCTACACTCATAGAATGTGAAATGATACCAGATGACAGGTCAGAGAT